AATAGGAGCGTCGTAAAGTGAAATTTACGAAAACACCTCGCCCCCCCCCCACTTCCTCTTCTGCGCCGTTGCGTCACCCACCCGCCCGATGTGGGCCCTCTGTCAGCGCGGTGGCACGGCCAGGCCCGGCGGTTGAAGCGGTGCTACGTCTAAGATTAATTTTTAGCTCTGCAAATAATTCAGCAATTAAAAAATAACAGTATCGTTTTTAGCTCTATGGGTACTGGCCTGCGATGACGCAGTTACGCTCGTATTAACAAATAAGAGTTGACACCCTTTTGATCATCTTCTTCTCCTCTACTGCAAGGATGGATTCATGACCTGTTCTGACTTCTACCAATTTTATTTCTGCCTCTGTGTCTTCTACCTCGCGTTCTACACATAAACGCTTGCTTTAGAATGCGTGTCAGTCCCATGTGACGAAGTCATTCCTCCCTTCACTCCCTGAAGTCAGAAAGATAGTATTTTGCCATTGATTGCTTGAACAATTAATTTTCATCTTATTTCGTTTCGCGCTTCTGGCCTGTAGTCCTATGGCGGGAGAGACAACTCGCATAGTCGAGGCTTGCGAGCACAACCGCATGGGTGGACAAATGAGCATTAGCACGAAGATTTCATTCGTTATCGAATCCCGCCAAGCGATATTCGCCGCTAACTTATATACCGCTAGTTTACGTGACTGCCTCCCGCGCTGGAATATGGCCGGTCGGCAAACACATTCGTTAATTTGTTTTGGCCGTGTACAACAAATTCCGCTTGCTAGGTGCATTCCGAGAGCTGCACTCAGACTAACGCCCGCTCTCGGGCACTTGAACCGCAGCACCTGCACTTCCCGTTTGCTCCGTGTACAGACCGTACAGACCGTACAGCGTGTACAGACTACTCAATTATAACTGAACTAAAAATAAAGGAATATTATTTTACGTAATTTCATTCTTTACTTTAAGAGATCAAATCGTACAAAGAGAAATATCAAGATTGTAGGAAGATAAACCATGGAACTCTACAATATACCTATGACGCGGAAATCCTGGTGCCAGCGTGATTATCGAAAAAAATCTTCTCCCTTGCGATCGAGCAAGCAGTATATTTTCTGGAACTTTTGGATTTTTTCATCTAGATCTACCTCTGTTAAACAGGTTATATTATTTAAAAAATATTTAAAATGACCAACTGGCTACATGTCATACTTTTCAAGAAGTGCGTATAATGTTTTTCCGTAAATGCCATCACTTTGGTCTTTGTATTTGAAATGTTGAAATAATATCCTTTGTGATTTTGATGAAATTAATAAACAGAATTTGTAAATTATTTTATCTTTTAGCATCAAAATTATTTTTGTCTGAAAGTTCATAAATATCACGCAATCACGTTTCGGTCGTTTAGGAATGTGCCGCACATTTTCCCAGCATGTTATCTTCAGATGCAAAAAGACGAACAACAGTGAGAACTGTTGGGTAGCTATAAATAATCTGACGGACGAACGGCCTGACGGTCTGCCTCACGGACGAACGGCTTAACGGACGGACTGACGGATGCACTGAAGAACGGACTGGCGGAAGGAATGACTGACTGACAAAATATTCACTATAATCAAAATAGTTATAATACTCAGGATAGTCAGATCGACTCCGTCAGTTGGTCGACTTGCCGGGTCGATCCCCCACGTGATTAACTTGCTGGTTGATTCCTCATGTAATCGACTTGCTGGGTCGAATTCCTACTTGATCGCTTGCTGCGTCTATCCCCTACTTTGTCGACTTGCTGGGTCGACCCCCTACTACCGACTTGCTGGGGCGATCCCATATTTTATCGACTTGCTAGGTCTATCCCTCCCTTGATCGACGTGCTGGGTCGATCCCTCACTTGATAGACTTGCAGGGTCGATCCCTCATTAGATCGACTTGCTGGGTCGATCCCCCACTTGATCGACTTGCTGGGTCGACCCCCACTTGATCGACTTGCTGGGTCGATCCCCCACTTGAACGACTTGCTGAGTCGATCCCCCACTTGATCGACTTGCTGAGTCAATCACCTACTTGATCAACTTGCTGGGTCGATCACCCACTTGATCGACTTGCTGGGTCAATCACCCACTTAATCGTCTTGTTGGTTCGATCACCCACTTGATCCACTTGCTGGGTCGATCCCCTACTTGACCGACTTGCTGGGTCGATCACCCACTTAATCGACTTGCTGGGTCAATCGCCCATTTGATTGACTTGCTGGGTCGATCATTCACTTGATCGACAAGCTGGGTCGATCGCCCACTTCCTCAACTTGCTGGATCTATCCCTAACTTGATCGACTTTCAGGGTCGATCCCTCACTTGATCGACTTGCTGGGTCGATCACCCACTTGATGAACTTGCTGGGTTGATCACCCACTTGATCGACTTTCTGGGTCGATCACCCACTTGATCGACTTGCTGGGTCGATCCCATATTTTATCGACTTGCTAGGTCAATCCCTCACGTGATGACTTTGCTGGGTTGATCCCTCACTTGATCGACTTGCTGAGTCGATCCCCCACTTAATCAAATTGCTGGGTCGATCACCCACTTGAGCAACTTGCTGGGTCGATCACCCACTAGATCGACTTGCTAGGTCGATCCCACACTTGATCGACTTGCAGGGTCGATCCCTCACTAGAACGACTTGCAGTGTCGATCTTTCACTTGATCGACTTGCTGGGTCGATCCTTCACATGATCGACTTTGTGGGTCGATCACCCACTTGATCAACTTGCTGGGTCGATCCCCTACTTGATCGACTTGCTGGGTCGATCACCCACTTGATCAACTTGCTGGGTCGATCACCCACTTGATTTACTTGCTGGGTCGATCACCGACTTGACTTGCTGGGTCGATCACCCACTTGGTCGACTTGCTGAGTCGATCGCCCACTTCATCGACTTGCTGAGTCTACCGCCCACTTCATCAACTCTCTGGGTCGATCTAGTGGGTACTAGATCGACTTGCTTGGTCGATCCCATATTTTATCGACTTGTTAGGTCGATCCCTCACTTGATCGCCTTGCTATGTTGATCCCTCACTTGATCGACTTGCAGTGTCGATCCTTCACTTGCTCGACTTACTGTGTCGATCCCCCACTTCATCGACTTGCTCGGTCGATCCCACACTTGATCGACTTGCAGGGTCGATCCCTCACTAGAACGACTTGCTGGGTAGATCCTTCACTTGATCGACTTGCTGGGTCGATCCTTCACATGATCGACTTGCTGGGTGGATCCCCTACTTGATCGACTATCTGGATCGATCCCCTACTTGATCGACTTTCTGGGTCGATCACCCACTTGATTGACTTGCTGGGTCGATCACCCACTTGATCGACTTGCTGGGTCGATACCCACTTGATTGACTTGCTGAGTCGATCGCCCACTTCATCAACTTGCTGGGTCGATCACCCACTAGATCGACTTGCTGGTTCGATCCCATATTTTATCGACTTGTTAGGTCGATCCCCCACTTCATCGACTTGCTGGGTCGATCCCACACTTGATCGACTTGCAGGGTCGATCCCCCACTAGAACGACTTGCTGGGTCGATCCTTCACATGATCGACTTGCTGGGTGGATCACCCACTTGATCGACTTGCTGGGTCGATCCCCCACTTGTCGACTTGCTGGGTCGATCCCCCACTTGCATCGACTTACTGGGTCGATCACCTACTTATCAACTTGCAGGGTTGATCCCCCGCACTTCATCGACTTGCCTGGGTCTCCCCCACTAGAAGACTTGCTGGGTCGATCCTTCATCAATGAATCGACTTGCTGGTGGATCCTCCAACTTTGATCGACTTGCTGTGGTCGATCCCCCCTTGATCGACTTGCTGGAATCGATCCCCCACTTGGAATTGACTTACTGGGTCGGTCACCTACTTCATCAACTTGCTGGGTTGATCACCCACTTGATCGACTTGCTGGGTCGATCACCCACTTAATCGACTTAATCATAAATTTCACTTTACGACGCTCCTATTCGTCCGCTTTGCATGATTGTTACGGCGTTAGATTCAGGAGGCATGTCGCCATCGCGCTATAAGGCCACATTTATAAATTTGCTCTCGTAAGTTTGAGATCTAATTTCAAATTCTCGTTTTTGTTATATTTTTGGTAAAAGGTCATCGTGGCGTAATTTCTATTTCAATAAAGCGTCAAATGCCGTTTACTAATCGAAAATCGGACCGCTAATTCAGACGTTTTCAGTAAAGTAAATTCCTCTGTGATAGTGCTGCGATGTATTGAATTTTCCTACAAGTATTTTTCGGTGCATTTAGCCTTAACACACCACCTTACTAAACATACAGAGACGCAAGCAATCCTGTTACGGTGGCAAATTTTTGAATGAAATTCTTTTATATCATATTATTCAAGGGAGAAACTACATATGCGGTCTTTTCCTTCAGTTTATCTTACATTCAAGTTACTTCAGAGAATTACAACAATTTAAATCCAAAAAACACTAAGGATCAAGGCGCAAAAAGCACTCAAAGATCGGGACGCACACGAAAACAATGACTGACCTACGTTTCAATCGTACGTCCGTACTACGTGCTAATGGCCCGTTTCTCTGCGGAAGGCCGCGGACAGCCGAGATTCTTCGAGAGCAGCGATGACTGGAGTGCACATCGCAGCGCAAAAGAATGCGACTCGAAGCGGCCGAATAAGTCACCCTGAGCGATGGCGAGCTCTCAATTCGATGCGCTGATTTTGACGAATCCTTTGCAAATTTTTCGCATTCTTGTAGCATGGCTATTTCTCAATTTGTTACCATTTCCACAAAGAAATATGTGTATTTTGACTAATATTGGATCCTTCTTTAAAGTTTAAAAAATGAATTATTTTTATTTTGTTTGGTCCTCACTGCAACTATCGATGACCGGAGGTATCACCCCTGGGAAGGTACTGAAGACACTCACTGGCTTAGGTGATAAAATTATCGTGATACACTAGAGAAAAAATTGTTGAGTTAAACAAACCTTGTGGACGACTGTTTCTTTTCTTCGAACCACTAGGGGCTTTATCTGTACGAACAGCTGGATCAGACAAGGTGGGCGCCAAGTACTTTCTGCCTGAACCACTTCCAACACTATCTGATCTTGGGATCATGACTCGATGACCGCGATGTCTAGGTCCTTCCGTTTCCTGAAAATGTATTGTCATATGCATTTAATTAAAAATGTTTGTCTTAGATGAACAATACGAATAACAAAGTTCAATGTAAAAGGATCATGAGCTGAAAAAATATTCCAAGTTTTGAATATAAAATACAAGTAGTTTGGTAGGTACACCTAAAGAACATTCTCTTACTGTGTTCGAAAGTTCAGTATTCCTCTGATTCCAGGCCTTCGTAGAAGTAATTACTTTGGGTTCAGCCTCAACATCTCTTTCTGGTTCTTTTAATTTGTCTTCAGAATCTTGCATTGACAAAAGTTCATTGGTAGCTCGTAATCCAGCAATTAAACTATTTTGCTGCTTCTGCAATGTTGAAGTAGATGTCAAAATTCAGTGGAATCACTTACAAATAAAACTATCAACAAACATATTGAAAATTATGTTAAGAAGTCCAGTAATGATGTTGCAAACGGGAAAAATTCTTGATGTACGAGACGCATCTAGAAAGAAAGTTTCCGTAGGTCATCAGCAACAAGAAAACTTAATTTCATGGGAGAACTTTATTGTAACAGAAACAGCGCATGTTGCACTGCTTTTCCACATAATCGCCACCAGAACTGAGACGTTTGTCATACCGTTGGATCAATGTTTGTATCCCGGTGTCGTAAAAGTCTGCCGACTGGGATAAGTGTCAGCGTTTCGCCACCAATAGATGGGAGGTTCTATAAACTAGATATATGAAACCTGTTCCTTAATCTCTTAATCTACAAAGCAATACCAGATGTCGGCAAAGAGGGGAAGCTTTGTCTGTACTATACAACATAAAGGGGTAATATTCGATCTTCGTGGTCTTACTTGCAACAATGATGTGGAAAAAGAAATAAAAGCAAGAATAGTGGCGGGAAACAGCATATTTTGCACATTTACAGCTATTTAAAAGTAAAATGTTATCAAAGGGCGCAAAACTAAGATTTCACGAGACAGTGATTAGACCAGTTGCAATTTAATGCTGCAGAAACGTGGACTTTAAAGAAAAGGATATACAGCGCCTTGCGGTTTTTGAAAGAAGGATTATGAGAAGGATATTTGGACCAGTTCAAATGCCCAATGGAGATTGGCGGATTAGGAACAATTCAGACCTGGACATTATACAAAATCATAAAAACATATTAAATTTTATCAAAGCCATGAGCGTAAGCTGGCTTGATCATCTTAATAGAATATAGGATGACGGAATAGGGAACAAGAACTTCAGCTGGAATCTACTGAGCACCAGGAGAAGAGGACGGCCTAAAAATAGATGGAACAATGATGTTGTCAAAGACATCAGGAAAATGATTGAAAATTGGGTCGAGCCCTCGAAGAATAGGGAAAATGGAAAAGGACAGTGGGAAATGGAAGGTGGACCCTCATTTTAAACAAGTAAGAAGAAGAAAGAAAAAGCTGCTTGATGAAAAGGGCATGAGAGAAGATGAAATCTATTCATTCTCAGAAGAAAAAATATTGACCAGATTGTTGATCGTATTCTGAATGCACGGAGATAAAGGTTTCACACCATTCAAAAATGCATTGTTTTGGACTTCCTCAATGGAGCTCGGTTTGAAACAATGAATGGAGAATAATTGAAGATCCAGGTACTTGAGTTAGCTTCCACATAGAAATTGACTTTGAGAGCAACAAGCTGGGAATAGAAGTGGAAAGTTAAAAGTAGCATGGCTTTTAATCAAGCCCTAATACGAAAACAGGTACACCATCGAGTCTTCGGAGTTAATATACAAGAACGCACTTCGAGATGCGTATCGCCACATTACGCCAGCGTTTTATTTTTCCTACATAACCAGTCTACGTAAAATATGATATTCCTAACATTATTGATACCTAGAAAGTGATTTTTCTGGGTCTACACGATTACGATGTATCTATACATCTAGCTGTCTATCTATGTGTGTATGTGTGTGTGTGCGCGCGCGCGTGTGTGTGTGTGTGTGTGTGTGTGTGTGTGTGTGTGTGTGTGTGTGTGGCGAGCATGGCTTACTCCCGTCGCTTGGCTTACTTGGCTTGACTGAGCTTTTTCTTTCCTTACACAGCTGTAAAAATTGACACGATTTGTATTAGAAAGCTACATCTTTTTGTCCCGCTGTAGTCTTCCTCTAAATTGATTTCAATTGGCGATTCTCTTAATTTTGTGAAGCAAGTCGGCACCAGGGGCGGATCCAGCCGATCATTTTGGGGGAGGCCATCATAGATTTTTGTTAAATAATAATCATTTGTTATTACATGGCCCCCCTGAATCCGCCAGTGATCGGGACGAAACTCTTAAACTATTGTAAAATTTGTAAACTGCAATTGTAAAATTCAATCTTAAAATGATAGAAAAACAATTCGCACTGCGTTCTGTTTGTTATTCATTATCAATGTGAGAGATTACTGTCGTTCCGCAATTTTGACGAGTTATCCTTAGATTATCATAATTAAACATCTTCTAAAGCAAAACTGTGTTGATTTTTCCCATCTATATACCCCTCCCGATATTTTGATAACCCCTCAATTTCATTTATTTCATTTGCAACGATTATGGTGTTTATTTCGTTTATTTTTTATTCATTTCGTACGGAAATTCCAAACAAAAACGAAAGTTTGTGAATTGGGGTGCACTTTACGACTGCATTCGACTGCTAGTGCGTCCGATTTTACGCCGACTGATCCTTAGAGACAGATCCAGATCCAGCCATCTGAATTGCAGTGAACTCGCTGTTTACAAATGGCGTTAATGACCTCCCTACTCTACTATAGTCCAAATCTTGGAATTACGCACGAAGTTCCAGTGGTTTTCCAGTCCTGAAACAGGCTTTGACGAAATTGGAAAATTAAAAAAAAAAACTTTCTATGGGAATGTATGCTTCTCAGAACAAAGCCGTAAAGGAATTCATTATTGCTACTATTATAAGGGGCAAACTGATGTTTTGTATAAATAATATAATGAGGATGATTGTCTTAAGTAACATTCACTTCGATGGCTGCAAATTATTAGAGTCGATAAATTGCGGTCCTAAAGAAAAGTTTATATTAATTAAATTTGTTCACAGAATTGGTTGCCCCGACCAGGGTTTCGAATCCTGGCCTTCTGATTTACGTCCAGCTGCTCTAACCACTAACCTACGAAGACAACCAATCCATTGAAAAGTTTCTATTCTTATTAATATTGCCCATCCTTTTCCGTATTGAAGATATGGTGTGTAGCATGTGACGTTTCGAGGTGCATGGTTTGGCTGCAGCATCAGGCATTCCAAAACAGCATTACAAAATTTCTTTACACTGGCTGAACACACAAAAGAACAAAATTGTATTTATTTTATTTGGTTTACTCTAATTGGTGCTAATTTTATGTACAAATTAGTACAATTTCAATATCAAATGAAATTATGATTTTTTGAAACATTAAAAAATTGAAAAGTATTAAAAACATTAAATAATTCAATGCAATCAAATACATAAAAATTAAGCAAGAAATAATTGAAACGGAATAAAATAAAGTTGATGGCAAAACAAACAAAATAAAATGAAATAAAATACAAAATATTGAAGACTCGCCCTGCAATAATGAATTAAAGAGCATTTTTGTCCTCATGAAATTACTCTTCAGTGGCGTAAGTTCCATACCGACAGGACCATGTTCAGGGGCCCCGAGGGTCCGGATTCTCCGAGCTATTTAAGTCTCTAAATTCAAAACGAAATAATAACTTTTATATTTTATCTAACACTGTCTGATAAAATCATAGAATAAATAATCGAAGCTCCGTTTTTTCTAGTATAATGGACACAACGCAAAACGTATCACAAGTTGACCACCTAAGTTAAATTTTACGATATGTAACCATAATCGTAGAAATGTATCCGGCAAACCGATTAAAATAAGAATTAATGAATCTTTCATAGGATTTAGAAATGTCGAAAATCGATCAGCACAAGGGTTGTATTTTGATATTGTTGAATGAATAAAGGAACGAGGAATTGATTTATCTAAATGTGAATGTCGAGGATATGATGACGCAGCAGTTATGAGTGGAATTTGCAATAGTGATCAGAAAAAAATTAGATAAATTTGACAATGCATTGTACTTAATGATGCCATTTATGGGATATTAGAAATTCAGACATATGGCAGACTGTTTGCTGAAACGAATTTATATTTTCTTTGATCATAACACCAATCGATGGAATATAGTATTAACAACATGATGGATTTAGATAAAAAACGAAATTATCTTATATTCAAATGACTTTGTCCTACAAGATGGTCACCTCAACGTTTTTTTTTAATAGGTATAAGATTTGTATATTAATATTTTTGCAAGCTTTAACAAAAATTACACTTGGCCGGCCCGTGGCATGGATTTCTGTGCGTGTCCGCATACCGTTACATTTACCGCCAGGTTAATTTCGGTGGTCGTTTATGACCTTAGAAGTTGAAAAGCGACTTCAAATAAGTAAGAAAAGTTCATTTTGTAAGAAATTGTCTGAAGTGAAAGACGCCCACAACTTGAAAAAAGAAATGAAACATTTTGAATTTGTTTGCCATGTACAACTACATTTCAAAATATGTACTGACATGAACTAACATTGTTTCGCACCCACCTTCCCACCTTCAAAGACCTGATTTGGATTTGCGAACTACGCATAATTTACTCGATGGAGCTTACGAAGAATTGAAAATTGTTCGGAATTACTATGAGGATTTAAAAAATAATCCAATAGCATTGTCCCAAGTCTGGAAAATAGGAGTGAATTGTATCGACAAACAAAAGAAGAAAACGAAACGACATTTTGACGAACTTTGCAAGGATCAACTCACTGCCGGCGAACAAAGATACAAACTGAATGTTAACTATATACGCCTAGATTTTGTCGTCAACCAATTGGAGCAACTGTTTCTTGGATTGAAAGATTCAGGGTCATTTTTCAAGTGATTCAGGTACAAATTTTGCGTGTCCTTTCGGACGATGAAACTTACCGAGAAGCAGAAAAACTTCAATCAAAATACAATTACGGAAAACTTGCCGCCTCAGTTATTGTCTTTGTGTGTTTGTTTAAATAGTCAAATTTCAAAACTAGGGTCTTTTGAAGATCTGGAAAACTATTCAATAATAATAGAACACTACTGTATTTACATTACTTTTTACACTTTCTGACAGCAACAACGTCGAAAGAACGTTTTCAAAATTAAAGCTGATTAAAATTATTGAGGAAGTAGAATGGCACAAGAGCGTCTGTGTAATTTAAGCATTTTATCAACTGAACACGAGAAAACAGAGTGGTTGAAAAATATTTTTACTATCATTGATAAAATTGCAAAGAAAAGACCGCAATTTACATTTTAAATTATATCATGAAATTACAAAAATGATAATTTATTTTTGTAATAATTTATAATAATGTTTTTACTCCTAAAATTGCGTTTTTAATCACAAAATTATTTTAACAACATATCTGGCCCCTCGTAATTTATTGGTCCAAGGGCCTCCTCTGTTGAACTTACGCCACTGTGACGCTTTCTGAATAAAAATTACTCACTAAGAATATTTACTCATAAACAATTTAAAAGCTGTTTTGTTACTTACACTAACTGCACGTATTTTCTTCAAGCATCCCTCTAGCCATGTACGAATTGTTTGTTTAGCTACTTCTTCTTCAATTATATACTCGAATTCTTCTCTAGCTAACAATTCTTCCAATTGAAGTGCTTTTCTTATATCTACTGAACGGTATGACAGCATACTGGAATCATTTACAATAGTTGTACTTACATTATTTTAAAGCACTTACATAATATTCAATTTTTTGGAAGGTTACAAAATTTACAATTCATACTTTAAAACATCATGAAATGTAACATCTTCACCATTATGTAAACGATCCAACTCATAACACATATGTTTAAAAAGAAGTCTATCTTTCTGAGGATCAACTTCCAGACGCCCTTTTAAGAGACGTAGAATGAACTTCACCTGTGAACATAAAATTGTTTTTAAAAGTCCATGTTAACATTTCCCAGAACTATATGAAACTACTACTAAATCATCAAAATGTATTTATCCTCTTTAATTATCTAAAGTCAACCTTCACAAAACAGAGTAGTTTCCTAACAAATTGTTAGAACCCAAATGTAGTGTTTCCGAGTGGGAGCATTGCTGCAGTGGTAATGTGAATCAATGTAACTTCATGAAGCGCGGGGGCCGGCCGGAGCTGGGGGCAAACGTGCAAAGGGGACGACCGACTTCACGGGAAAACAAAGTGGGGGAAGGGGGTCTGCGCACCAAAGCTTGAGGAGGTGGTCGGAAAGCGCCTAGGTTGGTTGGTTTTCTTTTTTTAAGTTGACTAACCACAATCTCCAGTACTAAACGCTCGGCGACACCAGTCAAAACCATTCTTTCGCAAAAAAAAAAAAAAAAAAAAAAAAAAAAAAAAAAAAAAAAAAAAAAAAAAAAAAAAAAAAAAAACGACCGATGTAGCAAAGGGTGGGGGATCGCCAAGAACCGTACAGATGCGCACAGATGCGCGCGATCAAACAGTGTTCTTTTTATTTCTCGCACTTACATTGGAAGAAGATGAAGTTAGATAATCATACGCCGGGAATCGAAGAATTTTCGGTAGAAAAACGTTTAATGCCGGGCGCTGGTAATAAAAACGTGGATAAATCTTTATACTTTATGAAGTAAATTACTTCCTCTAAAACTTAGTGTAGCCACAATCCATGTTTTGTGGGTCCTTGATACCGAAAAATCGATTGACGCTAAAACGTCGGTCTGTCCTCTGTAGTCAACTCCTTAATCGTTCAGCCCTTTTTTCTCCAAAATTGATATTCCCCGATCTATCGAAACGAACTCAAGACTTTGAGAGTCTGAACTGGATATTTTTATTTTTGATGGTACATTTAGTACTAAACGCTCAGCCTAAGCGTTCAAAACAAAAATATTTTCAAACTTTCTAAAAATTGATACCAATGTTTTTTATTAAACTTCGTACTCGGATAGTGTAAATACCGCTTAAGAGAATGGTGCAAGTCTCATATTCGTTAAAATCCCAGATTTTTCGAAAATTTCAAATGGGCAAATTTTTTGGGCGTCTTCCTACAACTACACATTGAAGATTGACATTTTTTCCTTAATAAAATCTGTTCTTGAAAGTCAGATCTTAAAATAAGATCAAGTTCAATTTTTCGAAATTGAGTGGTTTTGGGATAATTTTACGCGCAATGTAGGAATTTTTAATTTTTTAACGGTTTTTCTCTCAAAAACCGCTCTATTTTTTCTATAAAGTTTCTCCTCTTATGTATCGTGGGATAGTAAAAAGAATAGTGCTAATCCCATTTTCGATTAACTTTCCGGTTTTTTCGAAAATTGCAAAAAGTTATCATTGCAAAAACTACTAAATTGAAGACAGATTTTTGCCCTAGACTAAGTTTCTTGTAAAAAATCAGCTCTTTAAAAAACGCCATGTACTGCAGATTTTTGTAGAAATGGATAGTTTTTGCGTCATTTATGCTTGTGTGTGAGAGAGGGAAAGAGATAAATGGCCACAGCGTCGCCCTCGAGTATCTTAAAAACAACTCGACTGAGAGTGCAGCAGTGTTGCATTCCTTTGATCGCAGGGGAGAAGGCGAGTATTACACTGAAAAAGTAATTTGACAAATATCTTTGACGAAGAACGAAGTTCATTGAACTTTGACAAAGAAATTTGACAAACGTAATACACATTTGATCAATATTTTATGTGGTTTATCTCGCGATTCAAGCTTGATAACGCACTCATAGTTGTGTTTGTGCTCCTTCATGTTTGATAACAACTAGAGCCCGGAAATTTGGCAAAATGATTTTATGACTTTTCACCATAGGACTCGCTTAATTGTACTTCTGGAGTGGTTTTAGTACATTTTCATTTTGCCTATTTTAGCTTCTGATGCCTATTTTTGGCATTTTGCTTTATTTATGCCTTTCCTGCGATTTTTCGTCGTATTTTCTCTTTTTCCCCACATCGCAACGATCTCAATCAAGCCTGGACAACGTGGAGGCATGTATTGTCTTTCAGTGGACGCGCAGGTGTCAGGCTGTGTTAAAAATATTCGTTTAAAAGGGAAAGGAAGAGAATACCAGTGAAGATTTTTGATATTTTTCATTAATGCTGACAGACTTGTTCGCTCAGGAGAAATCTCATTCTATATTCTATTCAGAGCTGTCTGTACATGATATACCTTTCTCAGTTCCTTCTTGTTCTTTTTTCATCTGGCGATTACTCAAGTGCGAAGAATGAAATCTATCATTCCGTATTCACGTGTACCATTTCAAGATTGAAAAGGGAATCCACAATAGCATTTCGTAGAGACAGAATCGCGGTAAAATAAATCCATAGTCGTCATACCGTATGGTCATGTGCAATCAAGTTACAAAAAAAGGAAGTTTACTTCTACGCCAGTGCTAATGTTAATTTTGGAGTTCAAATAAAAATGTGAATCGTTTTAATTATTAATTTCTTTACAATAGTTACTTTTAAACCATTTTTTTTACGTTTCCTGTTTTTACCCTTTACTTTAGGCACAATAAATGCCTTTTTGCATGCCTATTTTAGTAAAACTTAATTCCTTTTGGCTGCCTGTTTTAGGTAAAATAAAACACCTGAACTTCCGGGCGCTAATAATAAGCGATCTAAGTTTAATGCTGAAGAAGAAAAGGGTAGAGGACACGTTTGAGGGTGAGGCCATGAGTCGCACGTTGTGAAGCATCGATCGTAGTTTAAATTAAAGAACTTCGAAATGAAAAGCCCGAAGATGTATAGAAGACCCGAAGAATTATTTGAGGGCGAACGAGGAGCATTCAATTTTCTTTGTCGTTCTTGTTTCTGACTTCCTTCTTTCAAAATTGAGTACTCGGATTTCGAAGTTTTAAAAAATATCTTCATGACTTGGGAATGTTTCAATGTTACGAAATGAAAATAGAACTTCGTACGAATGTATCAACTCGTAAGAGAACGAACAATTGAGTAATGTAATGGATTGCTGTGAAGGCACCTTTGTTTTGAGAAACGCTAGCTAGAGTTCGAAAGATATAGACGCATGACGATTACGTCGTGATACTTAAAGTGAAACTTGCTTAAATACCCAATTTGATGCGTCTTCAAGAGTTTAGAAGATTGGCGAAATCTTGGGGAAGGTATGTGTTTTAATTAATCGGTGGTTGAAGAATACAGAAGAAGACATCCGCGAAAGCGCAGCAGGTAATAGTTTGCCGATTGATTAGCCATCCAGAACAAGGTATTTTCTTTTTGTTGGAACTAAGTGTTTTATTTGACAATCTTCAAGAATGAGGAGAACGGACGGCCACGTTAGCTACGTGGAAAACAGAGACAGCTGAAATTATATTGGAAACATCCACGATCGCGGCGATCGTGCCTACGCGAGCATAAACTGCGGGACATAAGTCACTAGGTGTGTAACATCCGAGCTTCACATTTTCCATTTTCGGGAGATAGAAATTCATTTGGTGTAATTTTTGTGGTTCGGATGAATAGGATTATATAAACATTCTAATTGCTCATACTCTGCAACTAAAACGTTGGTTGAAGCAATACGCAAGCAACCTTACGAATACTTCTCGGACACTTTGTAACCAAATATATGATAAAACTTGAATGTTTCAAACTACATTTTATCACAAAAATTTTATAAAAGAAATCTTTAATAAAATACGAGCTATTACACTGCCATATTTTCTATTTAAAAGGATCTTTGACGAACATATTTTACGGTGTAATACCGGCCGAAGGGACGTGCCCAGCAGGCGCGGATTCCCACACTCCAACGGCAATTTTTTATGCAACATTTTTAGCACGCCATCGGTGCGGGAGCACCCCTACTAATATTCCCCGAAGCAATCTAGGGACTGGGATGCGTCCCGAGCCTTTGTGATTCCAGAGGCAGGGCCGCTAACAGCGATTCATTGCGAGAGGGCCTCAAGTTCACATATTCATTATGAGGGATTCGAGTTCAGAGCCTTAATTAAGAGAGAGCCTGGAGCTCACCTTTTACATGAGGTGATGCCCCAGATAACAAGCGCGTTCTAGTACCCTAATGTTGGCGCGAATGCCGCACTTCCAGCGCCGGATAATGCGTCCGGGGCACAGTTACAATCGAGGGCGGGTCAGTGCCACGGCGCGGCAGGGGTCGTGGGCGCGCGCGTCGCCCCGCGCCTGGACCGGAGCACGGCCCGCCGGGACTCAACCGCCACTCGCCCTCTCTGCTACCCGCGGCGCCAGGTGCCCGTCGCTCAGACGTCACGGGGCGGAACAACCATTCAACACGGCAGTACGGACATGATCGACGGTACTATAGATAGTTGGGTCGTCGCCCGCTTCTTTCCCCGACAAGAATGCGGGCTAGAATGTAAATAAAGGGAGCCGGATACCAGATAGTATTTTCAATAGAACGGCAAACCATTTTTTGTGCAGAAAATTATTCCTAGTGCTTGTCAGTACAATGAGTCGAAAAGAAAAAAGAAAAAAAAGTTTAAATTATCTGTAATAATTCATTTCATATGCATGTTAATATTGACCTTCGTAATCACATTAATTTTAATTAAATGTGTAGTGAAAATAATATGTTTGTTTTACTGAACATGCAATCCAGCATCCACTACATTGGCAGGTTACAATATGGATGTCAGTCAATCTGTTTGGTACCTTGCCTTGTTCTGGGCAGTGCACGAGCGGGCGAGTATGCAAGTGAAACAATAAACTTCACTGAATGATGAAGGCCTATGACATTCATTACAACAACTGTCTAGTACTCCTTGGCCCACAATTAATAACTACCTTTAGTTTCATAATAAGAATTATTAGAATACAAGTGTTCAAATAAACCATTAAAACATCTGTCTGTTGCCAGTTGCAGGATGGTCAAATGTAAATGAACATTTTGGTATATTACAATTTATATAGTAATCTTATGATACTTATTATTAATATAATTAATATACTATAAATTATTAATATACTATAATCCAAACTCACTCTTCGAACTGGAATTACTCCTCTTTGGTGTATATCAACTACATTCCATGTATTCTGGAAATTTCTTATGTCAGCATAAGACAGTAAGGCATCCTCTTCATTTGAATAAAATAATGAAAAATTTTCCATAATGATAGCTATGAAAAATATTCAAGAACATATAACACAACACAAAGATAAAACAATAATTACAGTGAAGATTAAAACAATACAAATGTATAATATCCTTAACTATGTTATTTAGTAAAAGACAGTATGATTTCATTCATTTCTATATCATAAAGAATACTGATCACAGAAGATTAACAGAATAAAAATAGTTAAAAACAGTTTTACTATGTGCAAACATCTTAAAGAATGATCTTTTTTCTTCCCTCAAAAATAAAATCCATCTTTTCTGTTCAGCTGTAGCCAACTTTCAGAGACAAAGCCAGGATTTATGCTGACTGGGAGGGGAAGGAGACAGACAAAAGCTATCGAGTTTTAACAATTTTTACTCAAAAAATAAAATGAGTTATATATCTAATGTTTTCAATAAAAAATTAACTTTTCTGATGAAATTTTATTTCACTGATTAATGTTTATTTAAGAAAAGAACAATTTATAAGGCAAATTAATATTACTTATTTCCTTTCTAAAATAAATAATTCAAGTATATTTTTTATTTATTTCCTACTCAATGTTCAAACTCTTATTCAAGGGAAAGCAAGTGCTCCATGCGTGCCCAAACTGGTAAAACAACATCAACATGTGAACATTGATGATTGTCTACCAGCATTTTTTATACTTTAATGTAAAGATAAAGGAAAAAATAATACAGAAATTAATATTCTACTTACCTACAAGAAGATTCAAAACTATGTATGTTATTATTACATAAAATGAACAAAAGTAAACAAGTGAAGCAGTGAAATTGCCACAATCCGTCTCCCAGTAATTGTCAGCTGGAGTACAGTATGGAGGTTGGATCATGCAATCATGCATTATTTTATTCCAATCTTCTCCTGTGACAATTCGAAACAGCATAGCTACTCCTGTCACTGGAGATCCAAAATTAGCTCTCCTAGAAAAAATCAATTTCATTTCATATTTCTTGAGGGATTTTAGCCCAGTAGTTATTGAAAGAGAATAATTAATAATTACCTTCCTATTCCTTCTCCATATTTAACTGTGCCAAATAAAATGGTACCAGCCAAAGCATAGAAGAACACTAACAAGAACATTCCAAAAATGATGAAAAAGCTCTTACAAACTGAAACTCCAACAGTAAGCATGAGCATTTTCAAAGTAGCATGTTTGCCAGTGATTGTGAAGAACCGCAAAATGACAACCATAAAGCCCACAGAGTATGATAAATCATGCTGGAAAGACATAATTGTGAAATTTTAATATACTCTAAAAATAAAAAAGTATTCTGATGTACTTTCACAATTCACTCACTGGTAATGTGAAGTTAATGAAAATCCAAATTACTCCTAAAACTGTTACAAGAAGATCGTAACGATTTCTTCTTGACTGCCAATAGCCTCGAGGAGTAAAAGCTATATTTTTCATTACAACCTCAATCACAAACACAAGAGTTAAAACTGTGCTTATAGTTGCCAAAGGACGTGCTCTTTCTTCCCGCCACTAGAAGAATGAAGATTTCAAATTTAATATCTTTCACATACTCCTTAGCAAAATCAACTACATAAAGCAACATATTTACTCCAAAAAAATATTAAACCTGAAAGTAAATTACATGTACTTTCTCTAGAAAAAATTCTGACTCAATTTTTACAAGAAGGGAAGAGATAGTTCTTCCTCACTTTAAAATTTGTGTTACTAAAAAATGTGCATTAAAAAAATTTTATTGAAGAGTTTGATTATAAAAATTATTTTCAATAAAGCAATTATATATATATACTCACTGAAACACAAAGGAGACTACTGTTTGCAAGGACCATAACAGCAATAAAACGTTTAAAGTATATGTTTTGAGTTATGTCATAAATGAAAGCTCGAAATTTTTTACCATCAGGTCGAGGAGGAAGATGGAGAGGTTGAGCTATTTTTAAACGTTTCTTTAAATCACACCTAAAGAAAATATTTATTATGTAACAAACATAGATAAACAGTCAGATCATGAGTAGTGCGCAGATAAACGTTTTAATAGTACTAAAAGGATACCATCGTCGTTGATCAACAGTTAAAAGTGCTGTTCCTTTATTTTCAGAGTAGTTGGCAATGACAACACCAACAAATAAGGTTAGACCTATCATGCATCCCAAGAAAATATAGATATGTATATATATGGCATGGACCTGTAAAAATAATCAATTGAATTATTTGATTAATTGTCAAAATAATCATATTATAATCCATAACAAGTTTAACAATAAAGACTACTTCAACAATAATTATAATAATATTAATAATAATTATTAGAGTAATAATAATAATAATAATAATAATAATAATAATAATAATAATAATAATAATAATAATAATAAAGCATAATAAAAAGCAGTATAATGATGCATGCAGGAATTTGGTCTCAACACGCACTTCTCTATTGTTGAAAGACGCGATTTAACGCATGGGGTAAGTGGTGGGCGCTGAGATGCTCGGTTTCTAAGGGGGCCTCAAAATTATGAAAATAACTAAAGCGCCCTCATGCCTCACTGAAATACTTCTAACCTGAAAATCACCCATTAACACCAAAAACATGAACGTGAACATGAAAAACAAACATTTATAAGTTGTAAAGTATAATGAATTAATGCTTTACATTCTCATTTCATTAAAGATTTTAAAAACTAAAGAAAGAATATGGGATCTTTGTTAGCAAATATTGTTTGAAGCATCCTTCTTGAACTATGGAGAAAAACAACATTTTATCATTTGGATAAACAAAAGTATTAACTACAATAAAAAAACATACAATTGGACAAAAGTAATGTTCCAGGAAAAAGTAATTTTAACTGAAAAGTTTAAAACAATCATGCAATGATTATTGAATATTCAAGCTACTTAATAAATATCAGTTCTTGAATCTCATATTCTACTTTAAGATTCTATAATAATGATCAACATTCTCATTTCATGCTATTTTTTTTTTATATATATATATTTACAATTTGAGTACTAAAAGAAAAAATGTTTACACTCAGCACATTCAAATTAATACACAAATATTGATGCAAATCTCCTGATGTTTTATACATAATAATTCAAAATTTAAAAAGAATGTTAAAAGCATGCATTCCATAAAGTGTTGCGAACATGAACTTTTAATCGTTGTCTTTTGAACAACTTACGGGTCCTAAAGCTTTAATTAGAACATCTCGCACATCCAACCAGCCTTTGAATGACAGAACCTCAAACAAGGCTAACATGGCATCACCTATATTATCAAAGTTGAAACGCCGTGGATTTGCCCTAATTAAAATATACAAAAATATTAACTCTATTTCAAGAATAGAGAATAGAAATAAAACATATCATGAACAAATTTATAATATTCATTATTTTTTCATCACACACAAATATCTTTCTTAGAAATCTTTTCAATTAAAATTGCTCACTTAACAGAAATTAATCATTTTCATTTAATGAATTATTTAAGGACAATATGTCTATTCTTCCAACTCATAAAATTTACTTCATACCAATGTCTTAAGTTGATTTTCTATAAATAGAACCAAGTACTTTTATTTAAATTTTTTTTTTAAGTGTGAAAGCAATTAACTTACCAAACTCGAGGAACTAAAATTGAAGGCCATGATTCATCTTCACCTGGTTGAAATTTCATTTTTGTGACAAAAACCCTTCGCATGAAAACACCAACACAATCCTCTCTTTTAGTTATTGTAGGATCATTGCATCTTGCTAATCGACCACCAAAAAGCTGAACACCATAACTTGCAAATACAAACATCAGTACTATTAAAAGTATAGAGACCTATGTAAAAAGAATATTGAAAGTCAACAGTGGTTCTTACTTTAAAACAAAAAATACACACAATTACTTTGAAAGAACATTAAGATACTAAAAAATATCTTATTTATCGTTTCTCAATCAGTGTTGTTTTCTCCTGACTATATCTCAAAACCTAATTTTTCGTTTGTTCTATAATCACCATTCCATTGTAAACAAGTTGATATTTTGTGTTTCAATTAAGGAGTTTTAATATTTTAGCTATTTTCTTTGTTGCAAGCACAAAAATATGTGCTATTATCTGTTATTAAAATACCAGTGAACAATTTTGATAGAATTCTGAGTTGATACTCTACAAATTGATAATATTCTTAAATAGTACTGTAGTAAATAATTGTTTAGTAATGCTCATCCATGATTTTTTTAAATATCTTTTGCTCATTCATATTTTTTTTAAATGTATTTTTGTCTTTTTAAAATGCCTTTTCATTATTTATGTTATTTATTATTATTTATATTCATAAGAAAATGGATTTAGTAAAGACAAACTTTAATTCTCTGTATTTATTTTCATATGAACTGCCTAAAAACAAGTAAGAAATATTATTACTTTGTTTTGAGGACTACTTTAATTAAAAATAAACATGAAAAGATGCATCTTCTATATTATATAAAGAAGAGTACAAAGGACATAGCCTATTTTAACTTGGTAAAAGTTGAACGTTAATGGACAAGATTGGCTTTGTTTTTATAAATATTTTCACAGTATTAATGCTGTAAGATTAATTGTGCATATCAATGACAAATATTTCCTTATTTAATTTCTTGGATGGAAGAATCAATATTTTGCAACAGCAGCACTGCAGTTTTGCAAATAAAGTGAGGAAGAAACCATAATGAAGAAGAAAAAAGGGAAAGAAAACAGGTATGAGTAATATTCAATGGCAAATTACAAGGTAAGAGTAATATTCTCAAAAGCTGATGCAATCATTAAATCATGTTTAATTAAATGATCTTATTATATGGTATTTATGGTATCTTGGGGGTAAAAAGAAATACAGTACTTACTTACCAGTAAAATTTCTTTAAAGCCTCTGCATAATTCATAAACAACTTTCCTCATGTGAGGAACTAGAGTGAAAATTCGTAATGGTCGAACACATCGTAAAATCATTAAAAGCTGAGCACTAGAGTTTGGTGGTACATTTTTGGGCATCCAACACAAAAACACCAAACTCACCTAATAAAACACACTCAATTAGTAACTAACTTCTCAATATAAACAAAATATCAAGTTATTTTCAAATATAATTCTACAACATTCACAAAATAAGAATTAGGAACATAAAAGTACCTACCACATATATAAAAACATCAAGGACTGATGCCACATCTTTTACATATGCTTTTGGAGTAAAAAATAAACCATCAGCAAGTATCTTGAGAGTTAATTCAAGACTCATAAATATCACAAAAACATATTCTGCAATTTGTAAAGTAGGCGTCTCCATCACACGATAGTCTGGTGTTTCAAACATCATGGAAATGCACGATAAAGTGGTGATGCATATCATAACCCAATCCAAGTAAGTAACTAGGCCTAAAAAGTTGCTTTTAGAAAATTACAAAATAAAATTTGATTAAAATCTAAATAAACTTTGACATCATAATCGTTCAACTTATCTACACTACTTACTGTATTCTTTTATACTGAACTTTCCTCTCTTTGCCGGTTAAAGGATCTTTCAGTCTTGCATCATACCGAGCATATACAATTAGCTGACATGCCTTGCGAAATTTACTTTCTCTTGGAACAGCAAATAAGGGAGTGTCAAAAAATGGGTGATTTTCTCGTAGATCTTCTTCTCTCTGATTTCTAATAATAGACCAAAGTTGTAAGGAAATGGCCAATCTAAATATTATGATACACAATAAATTTGTTTACCTCCTCATTTCTGCTTGCTGTCTTTTAGCTTGGAGAAGCTTTATATCTAGGTCTTGCGGTCTACTACGTGCAGAACTTACTCTGTTCATTGCACCAATATCACCATTCTCCATAAGGTGTTCGTATGTTTGTTTCAATTTAATAGAGCCACTCCGAACACTTCTTCGAATTGATCTGAAGAAATAGGCTTTTAAGATTCAGGAAAAAACATATTCATCTCATTTCTAATAATGAAACTAATGAATAATGAACTAATTATGCAGGACATTTATGGGACATTATATTAAATAAAAACATCAACATTGGAAATAATCTATTCAGAGTATTAAATTTTTCTTCTGAACTAACTTTTTCAGTTTTCAGTAATAAAATTATTAATTGAAATTGCACAATGACAGAATAACAGTATTTGAAAATCTTCTACCCACTTAAAAGGTATCTCCAAATTCTATGAAAAACTTTATTTCACCTACTTTTTCTGATCAATTCTCAGTTGCTTTGCACTACTTATTGTCCCTTGAGACTTCAAAGGACCTTTTCCAGGAATTGGAATCACAGCAGAATCTCCAAGAAGGAGACGTTGGTTGTTTGAATCACTGTAAGGATTATTAGGTATTTTAAAAGAAAATTTAAATTAAACTGAAATGTACACAAATCTTACAAAATTCATGGTCCCACAATTCTGAAGATAAGACTTACTTTATTATATATGTAATAGCTGCCTTTCTAAGATAAGTAGTAATGTTTCTCACTTTTGGTGTGCTACTAAGAATTTTAATGGGTTTTTGTTTCCTGTACACTATTTTTGAATCAAACACTTCATTAACTTTCTTGATTCCTTCTGATTCTTCATCTTCAACTTCATATACAAATTGCCGCATGAAACTTTCTCTCACCTATTAAAAAATTATATATCTTTATGAGACTCCCTTCATTTTGGAACGATATACTCTTAATTCAGTTATATCTCATAAGTAGAAATTTTACAGTTTTCTCACTTTTGGTAAACTGAAATCTGAGGGTACTTTATGAAGACATGTCATTTGAGGACTATCAGGAAACTTCTCAAAAATTCTGAGGCGAAAAGGCAATGTTTCTTTTATTTCAGCACTTTGTTCACGAAATTTTAATTGCTTTAACTTTTTAATATCTTCATCAAGCTCTAGATTGTCCAGAATGACAGCCACAAACAAGCTTAAAACAATCTGAAAAATGATAATATTACTTTAATTCATGAATATTTTGAGAGAAGTAAAGTATTAAACAATTGATACAAAAAGAGTATATAACTTACAAGTGTAACAAAAAGATGGTATAAAATAAAATATACTGCAACTAATGGTGCTAATGTTTCTGGAGTTCTGAGCATAGTTTCATCCATAACTTCTACCCAAGCTTCTTGTGTGAGGATTTGAAACATTGACATGAAGGCCTGCAAT